TTTATTCGCCCCCACTACTTAGTTGCTGGTAGGATTTAGGCGAACCACCCCTAAGAGTCCCTCCAATCAAAGTCAGAAAGCAGCACCTTTCGTGACTTCTGTATTTGTGTTTTTGGAGAAGGAAAAAACGAGGAGAAGAAGATGAACGTTGGACGAGAACATCGGCTGCAGAAGACTTTTTATAGTGAAAAAGGCAGTTCCCTTCCGAAGGGTTATGTCGTTTCACAAAAGTCAAAATCAAATAATTATCCGGATTAATTAGCCAAAAATGGAAATCCGAACGCGTCGCGCAAACGTGCTAAGTGCGTAGTGCGATTTAATATGTCAAATTAAATAGCCCACACTTTTTCCAAAAGCCCACTAACCACTTTATCTAATAATTAAAGTGGAAAACAAACTTAAAAACAACTTGCACTTTCCTTCTCCCACCAATGTGGTATTTCCTTGGGACCAGTTACGGTAACAACACTCCTTGTGTTGTTATTGTAACAACACTAATCTCCAACCAATAGGAAGTTAGGATTGTGATGACTTTTTATTAGATGAGTTGACCTAGTATAAAATCAAAGCAGGGGTATAATTGTCATTATGAAAAATCTGTTTAAATAAAAATAAAAAATATTTTTTTATTTTTCGGAAAAAATATTTTTTTTATTTTCGGACCAAAATTTTGGTCGCCGGAATATGGTCACCGGTCACCGGAATATGCCTTTTGTCGCCGGAATATGCTATTTTGTAATCGGAATATGCCACCGTCGCCGGAATATGCTCACCGTCGTCGGAATATGCTTATCGGCGTCGGAATCTAGTCATCGGGGCCGGAATATGCCTATCGGCGCCGGAATCTACTCACTGACGGTCATCGGAGTTTGGTCAACGGGTTTCGTTGACCGGTCAACGGTCTTCGTTGACCGGTCAACGGCCAACGACCACCGGATGTTATGGTCTGCATTGTGAGATTTATGGTTTGGTTTCTCATATTTTTGTATGCTTTTTGTGGTTTGCTTTATCGTGTTTGTGGTTTGCATTAAGAAGTTTCTGGTTTGCTTTATCGTGTTTGTGGTTTGCATCGAGAAGTTTCTTGTTTGTTTTCAAAAATTTTGTGGTTTGCATTGATGGATTTCTGGTTTGTTTTAATATATTTGTGGTCTGCATCAGGACGTTTCAGGTTTGCTTTTTTGTGGTTTGATTTACTGTGTTTGTGGTTTGCATTAGGAGGTTTCTGGTGTGCTTCACAAATGTTGTGGTTTGCTTTGTGAGGTTTCTGGTTTGTTTTAGGAGATTTGTGGTATGCATTCGGAGGTTTCTGGTTTGCATTAAGAAATTTCTGGTGTGCTTTCGAAAATTTTGTGGTTTGATTTGCGAGGTTTTTGGGTTGTTTTAGGAGATTTGTGGTATGCGTTAGGAGGTTTCTGGTTTGCTTTATTGTGTTTCTGGTTTGCATTAAGAAGTTTATGGTGTGCTTTCGAAAATTTTATATTTGTGGGTAGCATATTTGTGGTTTGCTTTCGAAATATTTGTGGTTTGCTTTATGCGATTTTTGGTTTGTTTTAGAGGATTTGTGTTTTGGATTAGGAGGTTTTTTGTATGCTTTTTGTGTCTTATTTTATTATATTTGTGGTTTGTTTTATGAAGTTTATGGTGTGCTTTAGAAATATTAGTGGTATGCTTTATTGTGTTTCTGGTATGTTTTTCGGAGACTTGTGCTTTGCATTTAAAGGTTTCTGATATGCATTTTATGGTTTGTGGGCAACAAATAATAATTTATCGGGCGACAAATAACACAAATTTCAAGTCTACAACTGAACCAACAGATCCAAAATAACAACATTGAATGAACGAATTGTAGTATTACTATAGAAAGCTACACATTAAATTCAAAATGCAGACAAACCCTCCGCCGCTTCCGCCGCTTCTCCTATCTCCACCGTCTCCAAAATTTCTATTGCAGACTCCGAGGCTGGCATGCGGAGCCTATCTCCATACCACGACGTTCACCGCCACCGGGAGCTCCGGACGGAAGATGAAGCCGAGTCCCTAGGCACTCTGTCCGCAATCACTGGAGTGATCGTTTCCACGATGTCCGTCGGCAATTCGAGACTCAATTCCTCCACCAATCGATTCACGAATTCCGTCCCGCGCTCCAATTGAGTGGACGATTGGCGCGGAGCCTTCTAATTTTCATCGTACGCTTCCTTCGGCGGCGATCTGGCGGGAAGGATTTTCTCTAGAGGAAGGGGCGAGGACCAGATGCGGCGGTTGACGAGTCAGTAATCTCCATGACGACGACGTCGACTCCTCCTCAGAGAGCAACAACTGAGTGACAACTTGGATCTGCAAGTCGACGGCGACGGCCCTCACCCGGCCATCCTCTTCGTGTTGATGAATCAGTAGAACCTCAATAATTCCTTCATCGACGACGAGGAAGAAGCAAGGACGGCGGGAAAAAGCGGGGCGGTGTGGAAGACGTCTCGATCGGGTGAAGGAAGATGAGGTCTGATGTGAGATTAGGGTGGGCTTGAATTTTAATTTATTTTATTATTTTCAGTATAAATTTACCCTTTTACCCTTAATGAAACATGTTATTATTATAACAACACTTAGGTGTTGTTATACTATACTTACCCTATTTCCTTTACTCTGTAGCCCACCTGTTGGCTCACCTTTTTTCTTCGAAGCCTGATGATATTGTTTGGAAGGGTTATTCCCCTCCTCATATAGCTGATGTAATTGCCTCCGAGGCAAGTGTTGTTTAATGGCTAATGAAATACATCGGTTGTTCCTAAAAAAAAATCACCCACAGCCTCCGCTAATTCACTACTGCTCTTGGGATGTGGGCTCATCTACTTGACTCACATAACACATATCAGGCTTACACTTCCAAGAAATTCGAGCTTGAATATCTAATATGTCAATTGTCTCAAGGTCACAAGTTTATTCAAGATTATTATCGAGCTTCTATGAATCTTTAGATTGAGTATGACAGTGGCAGAAGGAGGTGGAGAGTACTGGGGACCTAGGACCCCACTTGAAAAAAATAAAAGGATTCATTATGTGTAATTACTTGTTTAATATGGATAAGTTAAGAAGTTTGAACCTTATTTTTACGAAATCTAACTCAGTTCAACATTATAGACAGCACTATTGATGAGTTAAAATTAAAAGTTCACGATCTTCTAACCTGTAAATTTTAAAAAAATTCATTGTACTAGACATATAATTTTTCTTCTTCTTATTATAACTAGAAAGACCTTTTAACCATGCACATTCGTTCTATTACGATAAAAAAATTGGTCATCAAATGCATTTTATAGTCTGATGTATGTGTTAGTTTATTTGCTTGTGAAACTAATGTTTAGATAGCTATCAGAATGTCTCATTTCAACTATGCTTAGACACGAAAAAGTAAGTTATATAGCTGAATAACTAGTATTTTAACCAGCGACTACTTGATTGAGTATATAGTAAGTAAATGTACTTTGTAATTGAATACGAGTATTATTCATAAATGAGACTCCACTAAACATTAATCTTGCCTAGGCCAATAGAGTATGATATGATGACTACCTCTTTACTCACTCAACGTCTTTTTGCTGAAGTTTTCAATGCAAAAATAAGAGACTCGTATGATTGAAATTTCTCTCCAAACTTCATCTTGATTATGACTATTAGTACTACTCTTCTCAGCCTCAATGTCACTGTTGGAAATGAATAGCTTTGAAAGTTATAGAGTTTTAAAGAGGAAAAACTACCACATTGGTAGTTTTACTTTGGTGAAATATGTATAACGATATGAGCCTCTCTTCTAAGGGCATGCCTCTTGGGGTGATCCACTTTTGTTGGAGAGGGAGGACCTAACGGACCACCACACACACGCGCGCCGTCCGGCCGACGGGTGGGTCGGTGGTTCAGCTTGAGACTATATTTTTTGAAGAAATTTCGAATGAAATTAATTATCTATCAATTAATTATTAATCGATTATTCTTTATCCTAGGTAAATACGAATTGGAAGAGGATAATCGATTAAAAAGGAATATTCGAAGGATAATCCAACATGATTTATCTTAACCGACTCGGTTTTAATTAAGGAGTGATTATCTCCTTAATTATCGCGACTTATTCCCCATGAAAGAGGAATATTCTTGGGGACTCGGCTCCTATAAATAGCCAACCCTTAAGACCCTATAAACATACCACAACGAGCAGAAACACAATAGAGCTCCGGTTTGTGCACAAAACCGCCGAGCATACGAGAAGAGTTGTTTTATCCTGGAGACGACCGGTTGATAGTCTGTCGTGCGCATCGAGGGCAGTGTCGCGAACGTCTTAAAGAAAGCGACCTAATCCGCGACTCAGCTCCAGATTTGGTAAACCTGTTCCTTGTTGTTTTTCCGTTCCTAACAGCCACTACATTAGAGAACGCTCTCCCGAAATTGGCACGGGAGGAACGATGGTTGGCTTTTTTTGTTTCTCATTTGTACCGCTGCTCTAACCACCAGGTGTTTCCCATTATATATGCTTCCTCTTCTCATTCCAATCTTGTTGTCGACTTTACGTTGTCCACTACCGATTGACATCGTGATTTTTAATTTGATTTTTAAAAAAAATATGATTTATTTGGTGAGATGGTTTGAATGAATTATTAGATATTTTGGTGATGATATGAATTTGAAATTGTTTACTGTCAATTATAACTTTATTCTTAAATTAGTGTAATATACAAGTCTTATATGTTATATCAACGGTTCACCAAACCACTGAATCCTAAACCACTAACTTTTTCTGTTCACCATCCGGTCCATTCTGAAAAAAGGAAAAAAAAAACACTGTGTGTTATTAAAACTCTTATACAAGTTGAGGGACTACAAGGGAAAGTAAATTGAATTAGTGGACTAGAAGTGAAGTCGTTGACGGGATCCCAATTACCAGTGGAGAGGTATTTAATTGCACACATCGAGAAGTGTTAGGTCACCGGAGACGTAGGAGAAGCGGAGAGGCGATGTCGGACCCGTACGAGAGAGTGAAAGGAGGTAGACTCTCCTTCAAGGGTGGCGAAGTTGCCGTTTCTAGTAAAGCCATCGCCAAGAGAAAGAAGAAGAAGAAATCGAAACTGTACGACGGCGACGTGGCGCAGCCGCTGGAAGGCGAAGTTACGGCTGGCGATGGCGATGCTTCAGGGGAAGGAACTGCCGGGGCTGCTGAGGTCTACACAATTGACGCCGCGAGGAAGAAGAAGTACGATGATCTCTTCCCAGTCGAGGCTAAGAAGTTCGGTTACGACCCTAAGGCGAAGGAGAAGAATGTTGAGGACGCTCTCGACGATCGCGTCAAGAAGAAGGCCGATCGTTACTGTAAATGATGCCTCCTTGAACTGCTTTCCCTCATTTGCAAATTGAAATTCAGGTCGGGCTTCTTCTCTGTTGCTCTAGGGTTAGGCATTATAACAGTTTAGGGGAGCATACAAAAGCAACTGCTAGCTCCTTGTTGTATCTTTTATCATTACACTGAGAAAGCTTCCCCTGTTTGGATATCGCCCGGCTATCTGTTTGCCAGTTATTCAGTGATCTTTTGCTCCCATGTTCGTCTCTATTGCTGCAAACCCTACTTGTGTGTGGTCATGGATGCTGCTATTCTTCCAAGCTAGCTCAGTTTTCTGTTGGGCTAGCCTAACCTAGCCTGAAACCCTTCCATGGATACTTGTGGTAATGTGCCTGACCAACGTATAAATTGCAATACAAGTTTCTGAGTTGCAGGAAACTTAGTGCCGATGAGAATTCATCAACGAATTCTCCTTGATTTTGATTGATCGTATCTCTTCGTAATGTATTTTTAATTCGGGTTGATCTCGTTATGAACATCCAAACTAGGAACTCCAAGCCGAAATATGTAATGTCTCAATATCTAGAACAAGGAAAGATTGATCCTTGGAAAGATTCTTTAATTAGAGGAAGGCATCAATGTAGGGCACTATCTATAAGTAAGCTTGAGCAACTCTTGCAAGGATCATTGTTCCAACTTACTTTCTTCTGGTACAAGGCTTTGCCGCAACAGCTATTGACTAGTGTGGGAGTCATTTGCTCCTTGCTGGTCCGAACAGCAATCTGCGTGCTCCGCATGCTGCTGCAGATGGTCCTGTTGCCTAACCTGTACCGCTAGTTAGTCCATCCCTCTTTTGCTTCCTGCTGTTCTTTTTGTCGCACATTTTAGTTTCATTGGTTCTGTAGAGCAGGAGGAAATATTAACATTTCCGGTCCCTTTTGGTTCCCTGGAGGATGGATGTTATGATCCACGCAAGGGAAAGAGATATCGACATTGCAGTGAAGCAGCTCTAAGATTGAAGGAGGCTGGTCTTGTCCATATATTTGTCATGACGTGAGGTCTAGGACTCCCGGCCATCCATGGACTATTTTAGAAAGAAATTGCAGAATCAGTTCTATTTTGACAGCTCTGTAGGAGCGATCTAGCTCCTAAATCACCAGAGGCTCCTACAATTTTCACCTTGCATACGTTGGAACATCAAACGGTCCTAAATTTGCGCTCAGTTGCTGATCGACGCAATTTGTTTATATCTTGTATCACTTTTTAAGATCTCTACAGCTACAAACGATCAAAGGTTATATGGTTAGCCTTTGCCTTCGCCTTCAAATAAGATCGTTTGCTGGCCCAAATGTGTCAATTTCTGATTTCATTAAACTTAAGACGGTCTTAATTTTGTGCTTTGCCATCTGATCATTATAAAAGAAATTTATTTTATATAACTATTCAAAGACTACAACTTTTACTAGAGAGCAATTTTTGAATGATGACATGTTTTTAGATTTAGTAGTTCTTTTAGGAGAACTTTAGATTTAGGAGTTGTAGCAGTTATGTAGAAAATTGCATCCAACAGATGATCGAGCTAAAAATTATCCCCTAGACTATCTTTTGATTGCGCCTATAGAGATCTGAAAAGTTATGCGAAATCAAAAAATTTGAGCAGATTTATACTTTATTGCTTGTATCTCAAGTTCAAATATGTGCAATTTGAAATCTTCTTGGGTTAATTGCAAGGTTGGTCACTGGAATTACAAAAAAATTCATGTTTAGTCACTAAAAATATTTAATTCCATTCGTGATCACTATAATTAATCAAACAATCCAAGTTTGGTCACTCTCCGTTACCTTCCGTTAGTCTCCGTTAACGCCGTCAGATTTTTACTTATGTGGCTAACGGAAATTCCTACTCACCCAATTTTAACAAATAAAAAATAAAAAACAAACCTCCACGTCAGTAAGCAGCCACATCAGATAACCGAACCCACCCAACCCCACTATTGACCCAACTCAAAACTTGGCATAATTTTTACCAACAGACCCCTCCCTGCAGGAAGGAAGCTAGCTCCGGTCGTCTTCTTCATCATCTCGTGAGGAGGGTTCTTGTGGCGACCTCCAATCTGCCATTGTTGTTGATTGCTATCGAGTAGAATGAAAGCAATGAGTGAAGCCTTGAAAAGAGACTACGAAATCTGCGAGGAGATCGACTGGGGACGCTTCGGCGTCGTCTTCAAGTGCATCTCCTTCATCGCAGGCTCCCACTGCAATTAACCCACACCCTCACTCTCGACAGACCCCAAGATCCCGCGCATCGTCTCCCCAAATCCTCACCTCGTCCAGCTCCACGCCGACTAGTACTACGAAGACGATTCCCATCTCCACATGGTCACCAAAATCTGCTCCAAATCCGACTTCCACGCTCTAATCCTCGCCAGCGGCGAGGGACAGGTTACGGTGAATACTATTTTATAGTAATCACCGTGATTACTAAGGGCAAATTGGGTATAACAAAAAATTTATTAATGATCTTTTTTAATAAATTACATTTTAGGAAATTACATAAATATATTAAATACAATTTTTTCTCTCTCTTTCTCTCACTTCCACAATTTTTGAGCCAGATCTCTCTTCCTTCTTTTTCTCAATCTTTCCTTGATTACGTTCAGCCAAACTATACCGCTGCAACAACAAAATAATAATCAATACCAATCCATTAAAAAATACTTCTATTGTACAAAACATCAATACCATTCGAGAAATAAAAACACTACCATTTCACAAAACACAAATACCATTGCAGATTTAATCACTACCGATGTAACAAAATCAATGCCAAAGCGACAAAAATAATACCAATGCGGCAAAAACAATACCAATACTACAAAAACACTACGACTACGGAAAAAAATCACTACCATTTAAAAAAAATCACTACCATTTTAACAAAAAATACGACAACTCAATGTAAGCCCGCATCATCATTCACTACCAGCGGAACCGAGGGAAGGTATGGTGGATCACAGCTCGATGTTGGTAAGCAATTCACCTTGCTTAATTGCTATTCGGCCAAATGGAAGGATAGGAAGGAACTAGTGGAAGGCTGCAGCGAACCGCAAGGCATCGTGGGAAGCCAAGGTTCGGTTCGTGGCTGTATCCATACAGTGGCCGGAGAAAGAGGAGATGACGGCAATCAGCGGGTGAGCGCGTCGGTGCTGGTGGCTCGCCCGTGGCCGAAGAAAGAGGTGAGAGCGGCGGTGAAGGAGGGAGAAAGTGAGAGAGCACGGGAAAAAGTATTTATGGTTTTGGGTGATTATATGGAAATTTATATTTGAAAAGTAGTAATTCGGTGTGGTTATTATTTTTGTTCCAAAACTATCCCTAATTAATCCTGACGGTCAATTAAAAAATGATGAGAATAAATGGTGGAGATATAGGTAGCCACCATGGCTACTAAAAAACTAGTAACCATGCTAACGCATTCCCCAGCGGCGGCACGTTTGCGAAGCACGAAGCCAGATCCATTTTCGCTGAACTCATGGTCGCCGTCGCCTATTGCAATTAACCTTCCTCCCCTTCCTAGAACAGAGCAACCACAATCCCTCCATCCCCTTTCTCCTCGTGCAAAATCCAATTTTTGAATCACCACGGGGTAGAGGAAACAACAACGCAACTCTCGCTCCGCCATCCCCTGTTACCTCCGCGGGTTGTAGCTCCTTCCATCGATTTCATTCAGCGACACCAGAAGGTGGAGAAGAAAGGGAGTGGGTCTGGTGGGACAGAGGTCGTTCAAGGCAAGGAAGAAGAAGAAGCCACCGTCGAAGAGGTGGTGTCGCGTGGAAATCTGATTTGCGATTTGGGAATCTGCCAAATTGGAGGTGTAGAATCGAGAATCTATCGTCGTGGAGATATGATTTGGGAGGTAGGGATTTTTTTCAGTTGGGTCAATTAGAGGAAGAAGAGGAAGGGTCGGGTCAAGGGTTGGGCATAGTTAGTAAAATACGGTACGGGAAAGTTACGTAAAAGATACGTACGGGAATTATACTTCATCTTTAAGCTAAAATTACGTTTAATAGTACGTTAATAGTCATAAATATATAAAATTAATCATTTTAAAAATAAATAAATATATAAATAATAGTAAAGTTAACAATTTAATTCGTAAAATACGGATAATAAACGTGTTATACGGGTTTTATACGTGTTTAGTACAGGAACCATGAAATGAACGGGGGAAAATGAAACGGCTTGACAATAATACGGATACGGAAGTTTTAAACGGATAAAGTACGTACGGGTACATATACGTGTATTAAACGGAGTATTTACTAACTATGGGGTTGGGTAACTTATGTATGATTAACTAAAATGACGTGGCAGGTGGATTTTTGTTTTTATTTCTTCTTTAAAATTAGCTGATTAGGCACTTCTGTTAGCCACGTCAGCAAAAAATTAACGGCATTAACGAAAACTAACGAAAGGTAACGGAGAGTGACCAAACTTGGACGGTTTGATTAATTATAGTGACCACGAATGGAATTAAATATTTATAGTGACTAAACATGAACGTTTTTTGTAATCCCAATGAACAACCTTGCAATTAACCCGAATATTCTTATTAAACTACTGTATTTTAAGAGTTAATATATTATAACGTGTTCTTCGGGGAAAAAATTCAAAGGAACGAGATTATTCACATCCACGGTCAGACAGATATGAGTCGGAAAGTAACAGTTGCATTTACAAAACTATTGTCCTGTTCATTCATACAAAGATCGAGCCCAACCTGCTGAGTTACCAACCAAAAACTGCACTAGTTCTGGACATGCAAGAAATGTCCACTCTTCGTATGTACATTACCATTAAAACATGGGAGCCTCCTCCTGTGCGATTTAATGAACACTTCAGCTTCTTCTCGTAGCCCGATCAGAGTGCATGCGGGAGGTTTATAGTTTGATCTACAGCCAGTGATTCCTCGCCGTTGCTGGATACATGACAGAAAGATTAATAACACACACTTGGACATAAAGGATGCAACATAGGATCTCTGTCTAGCAGGGAGTACGAGCAAAATGATATATCATTACCCAAGGTAACTGAGAGCCGACATTCGGTAAAGGCAGCTGAACACCAGAACATGTAACCCGATCGTGTAGAAGAATGCGAAAGTACGTGCGTACCTGCCATGATCATGAATTGAGACTAGTGTCACTTTTAAGTCAAGATGACACAGCGCACTTCGTTTCGGGAAAAAAAGGTATGCCTTCTCTTTTACATCAAATGAGATGTATATCAAGAGAATTGATTCAGAGGTTAATGAATGAATCATACTTGTTGCCCATAAGGAAACGTCCACTGCTAAGTGTTATTCGATCCCTGAATCCCAACTCCTTGTACCGTTGATCCCTTTCCTGAGGAGTAAAAACATTTTCTTAAAAAGTGATATGGAAAATACAATAAAGCTGCTCGGTAAACAAGCATATAATTTCAAGATTTCCAGAAGAACAAAAAACAGAAGATGATGGTGATGCGTGCTTGCTATAGATGAGCATTAAGATTTGCGTGAAAGATCAAAAGAGAGAGAAGAGTTCAGATGAATTAAAATCTCTAGAAGCACATGAAGTAATGCCTACCTATTTGATTATCTGCCTGAAAAAAGGAAAACAAGCAAAAACTAAACTTGTTTCCCAACCAACTTAATTCACTGCAACTAGTGGTGCTCAAGATCCTTGATAACATGGTAAGCTTTTCATAAGAGGAGAAATAAGATCAGAAGGCATATCTAACAAGTGAACCACTTCTCTGCAATATTTTTTTTCTGGAATAACTAGACTAATAAGAATATTAAGCTGCCACGATAAAACAAGACTCGTGAGTACAGACTACAGAGGTGACTTGAAGGAAAAGACAACTAACGTAACAGAGGCTGATGCATCTATGCATACCTGCGAATATGCTTGTGGTTGACAAAGGAAATAAAGCTAAGAAACAAACCTTCTTTGAAAACGCTGCAAATGGATTTATGTCATCTTCATATATCTTCTTGTACTTTGATTCCACATCCGAGCTAAAACCACTTTCCAGATCCTCCGCATGCTGGAAAAGTTGAAAGTGAAAAAATAGATATCAAATGCCAAATAGTAAGGCTATCCATCAGAGGGGACAAGATATAATTTGGAGGTATATGTGAAATTACAAGAGGTATACCTTCTTTGAAGATCCTCTTGAAACTACTTTCTCAAGATTGTAATCTTGGACATAACGCATCTTCCCATACAACTTGACATTGTCTGCTTTAGATTTTTCCAACTCCTGAGTCAGAGCTCCAATTCTCTCCTTCAGTTGCCTTATCTCCTGGTGTATTCCCAAAAACAGCCCATGTGAGATCGTCCTCCAAAATACTAGCACAAAACTGAAAGTAGATAAACTATACCTCTTCTGCCTCATGTAGACGTGCCCTAAATCTATCTCGTTGGTTGCAGATCACCTTAAGCATTGAACTCTGATCTTGATCCGAGGAGACATGTTTTTGGTCCAGATGCTGCACCGAAGGAGTCCAGTCAAGAACAATATACAAGCAATAAATTGGACAACAGCCTACTTTCCTTCTCCTTCCCCCCAATCCCCTTTTAAATTTTGTATTGAAAAGAGATGCCTCAATCCTGAACAAGAGAACAGTATAGCACCGGCACTCCGGCAGTCAAATATGAGGACAAATTGTGGACAACTAACCTATTAAAAGAAACATTTAGTGTCAAACCTTACCTGATAAACATGCAACTAGAGGTTTATAGCAGCATATAACCGACTAACTTAAGTTCAGCAATCCACTAAGACTATATTTTTTGTCCTATTAAATCACTGTAAGAAATATCGACAGCTAAATACTGTTCGGCAAAGATCACATTAGTTCTAGTTCACATAATATCCCCTGATTGTTGTCACTGGTAAATTCCTTCGATTCAACCATAACAGCTGCAAACAAAAGATGTATAGTACCTCAGATGACTCTGCTCCACTTGCCTCTGAGAGGTCCCAATCCTCAAATAAACTGGCCTTTCGATCTTTGGAACCATAACCCTGTGTCAAAAAAATACAAGTTTAGAAAACGGTAAACCTTTACAACTGGTTTGCTTACTGCCAATACTAAATAGAAAATTTGAACATGACAGTTAGTCTCAGCTGGTACTGAATGTTAACAATTTAACATCCATTAGGAACCCTAGAACGTTATCTGTGTTAAAAAAATACATGTTAAAAAACAGTAAACCTTTACAAGTGGTTTGCTTACTGGGAATTACTAAATAGAAAATTTAAACATGACAGTTAGACCCAGCTGGTAACAAATGTTAACAATTTAAATCCATTAGGAACCCTAGAATGCTATCAGTTTCATTTTCACCTCAGAGAGACGATGATTTTCATGATCCCAGACGAAGGACTTAAGAAAAAATCAGATTCACCTTCATTCATTGAGACGATACAGATCATCAAAGGGAAAGATTCTATAAGCCCACTAAGAACACACCGCTCGAATAAGTGCTAAATCGATTCTGACAACAACGGAAGTTATAGCTTCATACCTTCAAAATATCATCTTCCAATTTCTGAATCAACTTCTGTTGCTCATTAACCTTGGAAGTAAGCTCTATAATCTTGCTGTCAGCTGTGTCCAGCAAGGATGATTTCTCAGAAAGTTGGACCTGGAAGCACCACGCGTTTTAAATAAAAATGATAGAAACCCATTGACAGCAATTGGAGAGGCCCATTGTATGCGTATTATGGGTTGTCCAGATAGTTGTTTTAAAATTCAGAGATAAAAAGGGAGAACAAGGAGAGAGGAGGTGGAAGTTTCCCGGAGCTAAGTTTTGTATTGTTAGGGTGGGGATATGGTACAAAACATATGCTCTATGCATTAAATAAGGTGCAGTTCTACCTTCAACTGTGTCACTTGATGTTCCATTCTCCGATTTTTATCTAGAAGAAGGGACTCCATCTTGCTCATTTCCTCACCACTAGTTGCAGCCTCCCAATCTTCTGCCTCTATTGAGTTATAGCCCACCGCCTATTTCACAGAATAGTGAGGGTAGAACACAAGCAGACAGAGGAACTAAGATAAAAATGCAATTGAATAAGTCACATACAATTACTTAATGTAAGAAAGAGTACAGTAGAAAAAACAGGATGCATATTTAAATTACAAACCTATACAACTTGTGTAGAGAAAAAAAAAAACATCGACCTACAGGCTGTTACTTCAAATATTTAGGCTGAAATTAAGCACGTCAAGCACTACAATTACAAGGAAACAATCACTTTTTAAGATGATTGCAACCTAAATCAGCTACAGCAACAAGCATCCTCCTAGTTACTTATAAACAACTACACAACACCATAAGTTTGAGAATTGTTGATGGATCCTGCAATCCACTGATATTGAGAAGACTGAAATCAAATAAATAAGATTGTAAAATAATCAAACTTAATGCTAAAACTAATTGCAGCTAAGAAAACAAAAATGAAGAAAAATAACAGATTAGTCTGGTTACCCCATTTGTTTGTTCTCATAATTACTTGTCCATAAAACAAATGAGATTGATAAAGTTCATTTAACTGACCAAATCCAATGACCTAAACAAGACTGGAATTATTCGAACGAGTGAACTGTATTACCTGCAAAATTTTCACTTTTTTACGCAAGTCATCCACTAATTTTGGCGTAGGTCTAGCTTGAAGTTCTTTCTTCGCGTCCTGAATAGCAACATCCTGGAAAAACAAGTTGTGGGGGAAAGGGGGACTGATAATTAAATAGCTGATTAGAAAGCATGAAATTGGGGAATAACAAAGAAACTTCGTAACATTGGAAAAGTTGAGAAGCCAAACCCCCATATGTCATTTTATAATGCAATCTCGCATTTTGTTTTTGACAACATTAGAACTGAATAGTTCATTAATATCCTGGCAGAAAAGCCTTAAACTAACCTTCTCGATGATCAGTGCATTCAACCTTTTAATCTCATTTATGTGCTGTTCCCGTTCATTTGCCAAGGTTGTCTCAATGTTGTGAAGTTCCATGTTCATTTCAGAAATAATCTTCTCTTTGGCACTTAGAGAATTCTCCAGCATACTACTAGAATCCACATTGTCACTGTAAAAGTAATAGATAATTAGATCAGAATACCATTGGAAATTTTAATTTGATGAGTTCGTCATAAAATCGACAGCATTAGATATTGCCGTATGCACATCTAAAGTACATCTTTAAATGGATACTGGTGAGTTAGAAGCAGAAAGGAATCAAGTGACTATGCTTGCATATTTCAAACCTTCTCTTGCTTCCAGTGTCTTCATTTGCAGACTGTAATTGAGACCACAGGACACCCTGCAAATCACAAGAAAATTTCATCAAGACATGAACTTTGGCATGAACTCAAAGGACCTAGCAAGAATTTGGATGGAGTCTGGCAGGCCAAGTGCGCTTAGTGAACGTCGAGATGAATCAGGCTTTATATTCTTTCTGTTTTTTTTAATCGATTTAAGTCTAAAAGTGTGAAGATGGTTGGTACTTTAGTCTGTTATCTTTTTTCCACATCACCATTCAAAAAATAGGTTCAGTAGATTCCTCATGGATCAAGAATCCAGAACAAAACTAAGGTATTTTAATTTTGTGGCATGACTCGATCAAACAATAAGATGGTCAAAACAAGAGCATAACTTCTGACAGAAATGGACATCTACCGTTGCAGACAAAAAGATTGAACGAAACCAGTATGTATTTACATATAAGTGAAAGGTATTGGTGAATAGTTCAAAGAAGGAACAGTCAGTCGAGGAACTGAGATAACTGAAAGGTCTTGATGAATAGTTGGATCTGGTACACATTGAACATACCTTTTCTCTCTCAAGACTAAGAAGCCGTGTTTGAGCCCTCTCAACTTCATCCATCAAAAGATTGAGCTCTGATTGCTTTGCAGCCCTTTCTTCATCTGATATTTTTGCAGTCATAAGAGGTCATATCCAGCTTAAACAGGATACACACATTGTTTCACAGCAGTTACCGATAAAAGATCAATAAGGGCTTGTGACAATTGACAACAATAAATATGGAACTCTATGTATGCTCTTAAAAAACGTTGCATATATCTTATATGCGGGTCACCACTCATTAGTACAATCCCCTTATCATTCATAAAAAAAATATATGACAATAACAATGCTACTTCAGCAACATAAGCTCGTGGGATTTCAAAGTAAGGGATACCATTTTACCTGATTGAGCTTGAACTATAAATAATTGACTCTGTGCGAGTTCGTGCAATTTCTGCATATTTGAAACACTTTCTTTAGCTTGTCGTAGTTGATCTTGCAAGGATTGCTCCCTAGAAAAGAGAACAAGTTACAAACCAAGAAACTAAGAACAGAAGATGCAGATATATGAAGAACTCGGTTTATTGGGGAGCCAACATTCAGGGGACTTTCACAATAGCAATCTCAACGAGCATGTTAAAAAAAAAAAAAAAGAGTGAGGAGCTATGCAGTACTTCTGCCTTAGATTACCCACCTATCTTTCAACACTTCTAAGGTCTTTTGGTTTTCTTCAGCCAAACTACGTTGCTTCATTTCAACAATCTCCTTCACTTTTTCTTCCATCTGAAACCATAGTCACAGAGAAACTCAGATACTGCCATATCAGTGCAAAATGAAATAAAATATTCTAATAACATAGAAGGGAAAAAATTGCTACAACTATGCTCTAAACACATCATATGTATTCAGCTTCCTTAAATTACATAAAGGATAGCAGATAAAGTGAGAAAACAGCAGCTATTTTGAGCTTATTTATGCAGAACATAAGAAAAATAATCCTGCCATAACTCATTCACTGAAACAGCAAGAATGTCGTCGGTGCTTACTTTTTTACTGAAAAAGAGAGTTTGACAAACAAAATGAAAAAAAAAAACATAGGTATATCCAAGTTTCGTGTATCTAACTTCCCGATACAACAGAGATCACATGCATATAAGGCTACCCTAAAATCTAGAAGCCATATGGGTTTAAGTTATATATTTTTTTAACAAGACCTCCTGATAAATCCATGGTCTACACCACAGCTAAATGCATACCTGCAGCTCTAATTGACGATTGCGCTCCTCTAGTCTTCTTATTGTTGCCTGTTGATTCTTTAAGTGAGTTGCTTCTGTCCTGAATTCTTCTAGCTCAAGCCTCATTTTCCGGTTTTCTGATTCTAGTTCGGACAGTTTCAGATCTAGTTCCTGCATTGAGAATGACAAATCAGATGGGACATGTCATACTTTCAGTATGATTCTGAGTTCAACTGATGAGAAAAGCGTGCTCAATGAAGTCTTTCATAAAAAATCCCTTGGCAACCATAGTTACAAAATATGCAATGAAAAACTTAACAGAATGAAGCAAGCAAAACCTCGCAAAACAGTAAATGCCATCTTCAGGCTTTAATTAGTTGAAGTAATGCAAAATTACTACTAAAATCACATAAAGGGAAAACCTCCAACACCAGCATTTCAGAAAAGCAATTATTTTCAATTAAGAAAAACCAACCAACATATTCACAGAGCATGAAAACAGCTCTATAACCAAAATTTATGCAGTCCCTAGCAGGCCCCAAATAACAAACACGCAGGCTGACATTATCACCCCATTTCCATGACATCCATGAATAGAAACAATAAATATAAATGAAGTCCTGCTTACAGAAATTGATGCAAGGGCTGGATATGGATCTGGAGCCTCATACAGCTTCTGATATATATTAAGAAAAGAATTTTCTCCAAATTTTGCTCTCTTGGTAAGATTATCAACTTCTTCTTGGTATCCCTTAAGTAAAGAGTTGAATAAACCTAGCTTGTCCTCCGATGAAGCTTTTTTAAAATCTGTAAACAGTTTTTTAGAGATGCGTAAGTCCAACGTCACCATGCACTAATAAAGAAAAGCAAGTGACAGTTAAGGAAATGGTAGACAACAGATGCTCACTAAAGGCCTCTCCACTAACTCATCACACGCGGGCAAACTAAATTCAGCAAAAAAGCCAAGCTATTAAGTTCACAGATATCCAATTGGCATGCTCTTTCAGATAATCCGAAAGGAAAACATCGTCCGCTAGTAAGAATTACCTCTAGTGCTCTCTGCAAGTTTCCGTCGATTCTTCTGGCTGTTCTCCTGATTCTCAGCTATTCTAAGACCTTGTTCGTCAAGTACACTTTTCTCCTTTTCCAAATCAAATTCTGAAAAATAGGAGAATCAGTGACTATTTGTTTGCGCGTTGATCTCGCCAACTCAATAAATGAAAAGTAAAAGTAATCTAAACCAGTAAAAACACCTAAATAAATCTTACACCTTACGAAGTCTATTTATTCAGACTGGCACGAAGAGCAGAAGTCTAGAATACTCAACAGTAAAAACATGATCACAACACATAATAGGCTAGGATATACCTAAGTTGCATTAAGCATCTCATCACTTCCTACCACTACTAAGGATCATGGCTTGAAGCAGGCTAACAGAAACCATGTCACACACACATACAGTAAGACCTTGCCGAAGAGTATTACTGTAGTTTGTAAACTTCGACGTTAGAATTAACCCATCCATACTCCTACCACTACTAAGGATCAAGGCTTGAAGCAGGCTAACAGAAACCATGTCACACACGCATACAGTAAGACCTTGCCAAAGAGTATTACTGTAGTTTATAAACTTCGACGTTAGAATTAACCCATCCATAGAAAGTCATCAGTAGCATACTACCTGGAGAGAGGCTACTAAGTTCTTATTTCATGGTGGTCCCGTGAGTGAATTCTAGTCAGCATAATTCGATTAACTACTTTGGCACCGATTATACACGTTGAAACAGATTTCTGACTCTGGCTGAAGGATTTACATCAGAAGTACCACGTTTCAGACTGAATCAATTTCACATGAAAAACAACAAGGGAATTTCCTTCCAACCAACACTGTACATGTAAGAAAATTTCAGCAGAGTCAGTTGCAGGACTACTTTCGGCAACACACTGCGTGGAACTACTTCGCAAAAATCAACACAAGACAGCCGGTGATCATAGAACCAGAACTTGTAACTGAATTGAATACCTTTCCAGAAATTGGAGACGACGGATACAGGAGAAGAGGTAGGGCCTGGCTTGTCCCGCTCGAGACCTCCTTGCTGAGCGGACTCCATTGCTGAATCACCGGATCTCTGAGCTTCGTTCAGTGTCGCGATTCCCTGGTTTCAATTTCAAATTGCTCGAGGTTTTAGCCGGGAATAAGAGATTCAGGTGCCGAAAGGGTATCTGGTGGGCAGATCTAAGAGACGACGCAGGACCTATTGCAAGATTTAAATGGCGGCCTTAGTTCTGAAAAGAAATTTGTTCGGTTTTTCTTTCTTTTCCCTGTTCCTTTCAGGTTGGTTAATGTGTCTTCACAGTGAAGCTTTGATGCGATCGGTGAAACTGAAGTCATTCAACCAACCTCCCCACGCCACGGCGTGGCCTGTCCATTGCGGTGGTTTTCTATAAATACTACCACTAAAAAAAATTACAAAAATATCAACCAATCAAGACAAATTTCAGAAATATCACCATTTCATGAAAACCGGTAAACCGCATGGAGAAGGAAGGTGAGGTTTCAATGAGAACCGTCTTTGAAGAGCGCGGTTTTAATTAGGTCGGCCACCAATCCGCCTTTTCACGTGACGTTCTACGGAACGGTCGGATGGAGATGCGATATGAGGGCTGACCGCGCGCCCGCTCAGCGATCCGTGTCGACCTCGCCCAAACCGCTTTCCCGAAGCACAATTTTTGTTTCAAAGTGGCAAATATTTGGCGGGGGCGCGGTTTTCGTTTGGTGAAAATTGACCAAACCGCCCCCCTAAGCGGTACGATACCTATATAAGCCCCCCACACACCCCATCTCCTTCATTCTTCACACAAAAACCAATTCTTCTCTCTCTAAGATCATCTACATCCCTATAATAGGTTAGCCATTTCATAAATGTACACTACAACCACATCACCAACTTTAGCAATTATTCAATTCAACCATTTCAAACCACCTACATCCCTACAATAGGTTAGCAATTGCAATTGATGAGACCTACTCCATATTCTTTTTCTTAACAATACTTTTGCATAATAGATAATAGACTTTTGAAAATTCAATAAGCACAAAATACATAGCATACACCAAATAGAAATAAAGAAAAATTACATAATGAAATACAAAAAATGAAAAACAAAATTCAAAATGAAATAAAAAAAAATACTAGATTACTTGTCATCTTCCTCTCCTTCAAATTGATTCCAAATCTCTTCAAGTAAATCTGCTTGAAGTTGATGATTTATGGGCCTATTACTAATTCTCAAATGATTCCGGAGATACTCTTCATACTCAGGCGGATATATGAATCTTGGTCATCTTCTACAATCATGTTATGCATGATTACACATGCTTTCATTATTTCCCCGATTGTCTTCTTGCACCATACTCGTGTCGGGTTACTAAAGATGGCGAATCGTGATTGCAGCACCCCAAATGCTCTCTCGACATCTTTCTGGCTGACTCTTGCTTCTTAGCAAATAATTTATGTTTCGGTCCTTGTGGCAGCGGGATTGACTTAACAAAGGTTGTCCAGTTTAGATAGATTCCATCAGTGAGGTAGTAGCCCAAGTAGTAACTTTTTCCATTGACGTAATAGTTAACTTCTGGTGCTCTCCCTTCTAATACTTCATGAAAAACTAGGGAGCAATCTAATACGTTGATATCATTCAATGTACCCGGAAGACCAAAAAAAGTATGACATATCCATAGATCTTGTGAAGCTATAGCTTCCAGCATAATAGTAAGAGTTTTATGATCTCCTCTAGCATATTGACCTTGCCATGCAACAAGTCAATTTTTCCATCCCTAGTGCATACAGTCAATACTGCCTAACATACCTGGAAAACCTCGTTGCTGACCTAAATGAAGCAATTTTTTGATATCTTCAGCATTTGGCCTCCTCAAGTATTCATCTCCAAAAGTAGCAATGATAGCTTTTACAAATCTTTTGACACATTTTGTTATAGTAGTCTCCCCTATCCGTAAATACTCATCAACATTGTATGTCGCCACACCATAAGCTAACATGCGCATTGTTGCAGTAAACTTCACTAGTTGTGAAAGACTTTCTCTTCAACAACATCAATATTGTTTTGGAAGTAAGGATCATACTTCATCACACCTTCGACTATGCGAAGAAACAAATGTTTTTGCATTCGAAATCTACGCCGAAACATATCATCAGTGTATGTGGGAGTTTCAGAAGTAGTCTTGGTATAGGCGCTGATGTGCATCTTCATGACCCCTCTCAATGTATCTCCTTGGATGTCTTGAAGACGAGGCTTCATCTTCTATTGCTTCCTTTTGATTTGAACATATTGTTGCATAAGTTTGGAGTATGAATCATCTGTTGCCCACTGGACTATGATTTTCTCAAATGGATTCTCTGAACTAGAAGAAGATGACAATGAAGAAGAAGAATTCATCTCTGAATGAGTTATCTTTTGAGAATGGTGAGAAGAATGAACCTACAATGTGATGAAGTCTCATCTTGGAGCTCAAATGATCAAAAGGGAACCGAACACAAGTGTTTGGTTGTTTCGTAGATCTTGGTCAGTACTCTACTTTTGACCATTGTATCTTGAGTTTAGGGCTTCCATGTGGTTTGCACCTCACCTTTCATTCTAGTACACATTACAAGCTTTACAGGAAGCCATCAAGCCCCTCCAGATTCCAAATAAAACTCCAGAACAAGCTGGAAGAAGGTGGCTACTCAAACACAAGGAGGAGAGGATGAATTTGCACAAGTGCAGAAGGGGCAGATTCTGAAGTTGAGATACCAACTTTGGCGGACTGGTTCTCTTTGTTGGGAAATGATTTTAGCTAGTTGGAAGTTGCAAAAGAAAGCAGGAAACTTCTACTTTCGCGTGAAGGTGTTGGTTGAGCACATCAAGACGATTTCGAACATTTCCCAGGAGCTCCCAAATTGGTATCCAGTACACTGAAGCGTACGACTTAAGCCACTTGCTTGCCCCAGAAGAAACATTTTTTCCTTATGCGTTTTGGATTCTGTTTTGATTATTAGTTTCCTTGTTTGTCTAGGATAGGAAATCCTTCTTAGTAGTAGCCTTTAACATGTATTTAAAGGTCTCTAGTTGATATGTAATGGAGGGGGGGGGGGGGGCAGATTAAAAACTTGTTTTTCGTTTTAATTGATGTTCTTCATTTGAACATTGTTTTGATTGTGTGTTTGGATCCAATCCAAGCTCGAGACCAAGTTCAAGCATCAACTGGTGAATCACGACCGGTTGTGGGAGTTCTACCCTAAACCGTTGAGCTTCTTTCCCTTCAAGAAAGTCGTTCGATTGATCCATTTTTTTAGTTCAAATTATGCTTCGTATACAAGGAAATCCTTGTTGGCAACATTTGGTACTCTGAAAGTGATCCTTCTTGGGATCATATCACAATGCTGAATATATGGGTACAATTTATTGATGAAAAGTGCAACTTTATTATTTCTTACTTTTATCATTATTTTAAAGTGATAAAATGAGTGTCTCTATACACTACTTCTGACAAAGTTACTAGCATGCTACATAATGGAGATAGAGTGATAAAGGAAAAGACAGGTCTTTTATGTCTACTCCTACAAATCCACCAAGAATGACAATAATACACGTTACTATTCTCTGAAATTGGAGAGTGCTCTGATAATAAAGTAACAATTCTCTGAAATTGAGTGGTAAAAAATGTCAAATTATTTTGCTAGTTGGGAGTGACAATTCACTACTCAAACCAACGGTTCAAAAATGATCAATGCTTTTGCTGACAGGGAAGTGACAATTCACTATTCAACCCAATGGACTACTCAATTATATTGGTGAGTGAGCTCGTAGGGAAGTGATAGCATTGTTCTTTGTAAATTTATTTTATTTATCTATATATAGTGTGGAGTCATGAACAAATAGGTAATGCTCTCAACCTATTACACATTACTAGTCGTCTTCTTTCTTCTCCTCTTCTTTCAAACTTTTCATTGTTTGATAAGAAATGGATCCATCACATCCATCCTACAATCCATTTTTTCCCTTCTCACAAGGTTCGTCTAATGTTCCAAGTAATGAGAGTCAAGAGCCACAATCTCCTGTTAACCCTTTTCTTATCCCTTATATGAATTCTCCTTATTTTTCAAGTCAATGAAATTTTCATATGCCCATGTATCCAAATTTCAGCCATCCATATTTCCAACAAAATTACCCACAAATGCCAATATCAAATAATTCCTCTCAACAGTCACCAAATGAGGCTCCAATTCCTCAAACCATTCCTACTGAGTTTCAGACTCCTCAATATCCAGCATATTGCAGTAAAGGAACGCCCCAACAAGATCGACACAAAGAAAGCAAGAAAGAGAGAGTTTATTGCACTATTGAAGATGACACTTTGATATGTAGCGCGTGGCTTAACATCGGCAGAAATGGAGAAATTGGCATAAATCAAAAGAACAACAACTTTTGGAATCGCATTCGGGAATACTATGACACCTATCGTAAGACCTTCCAAGGCCGAAGGAATAAGCAAAGTCTAATGAATCGTTGGACTAGATTAAACCAATCAATATCAAAGTTCGTCGGTTATTATGCACAAGTTCAACACCGAAGGAAAAGCGAGATAAACGAGGTAGACAAAAAGAACAACGCAAAGGCATTATACAGTGCATTAGAAGGTAATGATTTCAATTTTATGCATGCTTGGGATGTGTTAAAGGATGAGGAGAAATGATCTAGCCAAATTGAGAAAGATACAGAAGTTGATCTCAAGGAAGATTAATTATGCTCCTCTGTTAAAATATATGTTAAATAACCCTCCAGGTGACAAAGCCTAATCGTTATCTAATCACACTGGACACGTCTAAATGGACTTTGCTTGATGGAAACATAAAAGTCAGTAGAGAGACTCTTTGCATGCCTATAAATCCTATATACCAATGTTATTAAGACCGAGCCGAGCCAGTCGGCCAGACCGCTAAAGCCGCCGCCACCCGGCCGTAAAACCAGTTTGGATCAGTCATTTAGTCGTTCCGACTTTTTGGAGAGGCCGTCGAGCAGCCGGGGTGGTTAACCGCTCGAGCAGGTCGCTCGGTTTCTCCCCTTCCGACAGTTCTGATTAATAAAAAAAATAAAAAACTGAAAAATCAGAAAATGAAAGGGGAAATCGTCGGGGCTGGGAAAAACCCTAGAGACCCAATTCACACTTCAACTCCTTCGTCTTCTTTGCGAACACAGAGAGACGAGCGGTGCCATACCCTGCCGTCGTCGACACTTCCCGTCCCGGCTTCGGCGCTTCTCGTTGGCGTCGTCCCCATCGCCCCTCCCCGTAGCAGCTCCCTGCTCGCCATCATCATCGCCCGTCTCACCTGCTCCAGCGCATCTCCCCGTAGCCACTCCTAGCTCCAGCGCATCTCCCCTACTCCTGCTCCAGCCGTCTCACCTCCGTAACATCTCCCACCAGCCGTATCTCCTCCGTAGCGTCTCACCTTCGCAGCATCTCCCACCAGTCACTACCCGAGGTAAGTTAATTGATTAATTATGAAGTTGAACTCATTTTATTATTTTAATTTCAACCGTGAATAGGAGGCCACTAATTCAATTGTTGTTTGATTTGGTAGAGAATCAACCCAGTTCATTAGCCTGATTCGGTGTTTCTTTTGGTGATGAGTAATCCAAATCCAGATGGTGGTGATACCCAATCAACAACATCGAGCTCTACTGCTTCCACAATGCAAGCTGGTTGGGCAAAGATTGATCCAGCTTGGAATTACGTTCACGAAATCAAAGATGATAATGGGAAGGTAAAGACACTTAAATGCATGTTGCATGGAATTCTCAAAAAAGGAGGAGGGATTCATCGGATGAAAGAGCATCTTGCTCATTCTTCAAAAGGTAATATTGTGAAATGCTCAAAAGTTCCATATGATGTACGTGTGAGATTTGCCAATATTCTTAAAGAATATGATGAAAAGAATGAAGGGAAGAAGAAATCTAATGATCCTAGCATTGATGAAAAAGAGGATGATGTGGTTGAGTTAGTTGGAACATCGACAACTGAAGGTGTTAGTGACTTGATGAAGAAAGCTAAGGGAGCTATTTTTTTTCTCCAAGAACCACTCATGGTCTCAACCAGGCATCAAATTGTGCAATGACTACTCAGGATGCAATTCATAGAGCGCATATGGTAGTTGCAGAATTATTCTATGAGAATTGCTTATCTTTTAATGTTGCTAACTCAGATAGTTTTCAGAGGATGTTTCATGCTACAATGGCTATTGGTCCATGATTTAAGGTACCATCATATCATGATTTAATGGTGCCTTTACTAGTTGATTGAAAAAGAGAAACTCAGCTAGTTGTTGATCAACAACGAGCCGTTTGGGGACAACGTGGGTGTACTTTAATGACTGATGGTTGAACTGATCAACATGGTAGAAGTTTGGTAAATTTATTGGTCTATTGCACTAAAGGTCTTTACTTTCTTAAATCCATTGATGCATCAAAGTTTTGAAGAATGCAAAGAACCTTTTCAAGATATTTGATGAAGAAATTCAGTGAATTGGCGTTAACAATGTGGTTCATGTGGTAACTGATAATGCAGTTATTTACAAGTCATGTGGTAAGATTATTCATAAGACTTATCCACATATTTATTGGTCTCCATGTGCAACTCATTGCATGAATATGATATTGAGTGATTTGAGAGATTTGGAGAATGTGAAGGTTGTCATTCAAAAGTCTAGAAGAATCACTGTGTTTGTTTATAACCATACTCCTGTGATTAATTGATTGAAAGAAAGGCCAAATTGGAAGCAAATAGTGAGGCCTGGTGCAACTCGCTTTAACAGTGAGTGAGTTCTTCAATGCATATGAATTATCTAAGACTGCAAAAGGAAGGTGGTGAGTGCTATATTGTTAGATGCTCAGTTTTGGGGTGATTGTTTGGAGATGGTAAATGTGGCTCAGCCAATCATGAAGTTGCTGAAGCTTGTGGATTCATATGAGAATCCCACTCTTGCTTATGTTTATGAGGGAATGAGAAGAACAGTTAAGGGAATCAAAGAGATCTTTCTAGGTAAAGAGACTTTGTACAAACCTTACATTGACATCATCAACAAAAGGTGGGATAAGCATTTTCGCCGCGGGGGGGGGGGGGGGGGGGGGGGACTAGTCAAGACAACTTATTTCTTTATTCCTGCTCTCAAATATTATGAGAAAGAATATGTTGGGGACGTTGAGATAAATGGGGCTATAATAAACTTGCTTGAAAAGCCTCAACTTTGTAGTGATGGTTTGAAAACATGTAAGGAACTGAAACTGTATGAGGAAGCAAAGGGGACCTTCGGTAAAGATTTGGCTGTTAGAGGTAGATCGTCACTTGATCCAGGTAATATGAAGTATCATGATTCGTAATGCAATAGTTGGTCTATATAATTGTGTTTGTTCTAATTAATCATTTTTCTTTGATGATGATTGGTGGAATACCTTTGGTGATAGTGCATCATTGTTGAAGAACCTTGCACTTCGAGTTCTGAGCCAAACTTCTGCCTCTTCTGGATGTGAAAGAAATTGGAGTGTGTGTTTGAGAGGATCCACACTAAGAAGAGGAACAATTTAGAGCATGAAAGACTATGCAATCTAGTCCATGTGAACTACAACATGAAGCTAGGAAAGAGGTACGTGATGAATAACTAATCTGTTTGATTTTAGACTTGAGTACAAAATATTTATGCCATGAAATAGTGACATGTGACTTGTATTTAATCATTCATAGGTCTCGTGTTATTTGGTATTACCGAATACTCGTATGATTTCTTGGGATTGAGATTGGGATTGAATTTCAATTTTTATTCGATATTAGAGATTACAGGATTGGGATCAGGATCGATATATACCGAAATATCGATCAATACCAAAATATAACCTAGTGTGTATTTTGTCCTCAACACTAGACTCTATCATTCACTACCACACGACCCTCAACCACTAAGAGTGTCATTTAATTATACATAGATCATTCCATCACTGTTTCACAACTTAGAAGTCCCCATCCAACTCAATTTTGACTTTTCAATTTAAGTCACTCTCGTCTCTCACCTAATCTCTTTTGTTATTTTCATAACACCAAAAATCAAACACTAGTATTAGTCGGCTCTCAGCCTCCAATTCGTCAAATTAAAGATTAACAATGACAAGAACTTGAGATGCCACCTCTCCTCCATTCTCCTTATCCATATCCTAGCTCTAGGAAAACTCAAGACTCCTTGCTTAATCTCTTTGCCCTAAATTAAACAATCAAATCTAATTTATATATTTAATTATTAATTACAAAGGTAATTAATTTTGTATTCGATAATACCGATTTGGATACCGAAGTACCGATTGGGATACCAAAATATTTAGAATTGGGATTGGGATACATAAATTATTTAGGGATAAAGATTGGAATTGATTTTAGGGTGTAATTCGGTATTCAGGATTTTAATATTTGATATTGGAATAATGATACAGTAATGATTTCCACACGCCATGGACTTGCTTTGCTGTCAGGAGAACTAAATATTAAACTCTGGTCAAGCTGGCGGTGGTGGCTATTCAAAATAAACAATTAATACTGAAAGAAACAACTGAAGCAACTTGTCTAAAGACGAGTGAAGACTGAAATTGCCGAAAAGAAAAGAAAAAGTCCCTGAAAAATGTTAGTAAATTCAAGAGTTCTCTAATTGGTCCATTTCCAGTCCCTACTGTGCTAGCTCCACTCCCTGCTTCATAGCCAGCCAGTCAGACTAGCATTCCATTTCACATTCTACAGCTCCACTCCAAAGGAGAAAGCCGATGAAATAAAGGAGAGGTCTAGGATGCTAGCTTTTGCTAAGAAACAAAAGAAAGGATACTAACCCAAATAGAAAGAAAGAGAGAAGCAAATAGATAGAAATGAGAGCTGATTTGTCAAATGTTCTGTTGGTCCCAATCATCATCTGCTCCATTTCATTTGTTTGGATTTCTGGGTTCGCAGCAACTACCTCCAATTATAAGCTTCATCCTTCTGAAGGTAAAGCTGATTGCTTTGACTCTGTCTAGGAACACTTCTGTAAGCATAAATTCACTTCCTTCTCTGGATTTTACTGTTCATAAATATCCGCAGTGAAGGCATTAAGAGATATAGGTAAGAAGCTGGGGAAGAAAGGCTGGGATTTCGGGAAAGATCCTTGCAGTGGAGAAGGGAACTGGGTTGTTACTGATAGCAGGAAAGGGTTTGAGAGCTATGTGATTTGTGACTGCCCAATTAGTGCCAGTGCCAGTGCTGTTGCAGTTCATGGTACTATCAATCTCATCAACTCCACTACCTCCAGTTCCACTTGCCATGTCACCTCAATGTAAAGTTCTCTTCCTTGTATGATACATATACATATTTCCATTCTTAATGCTTTGTTATAATACAAGGACGAACGGCTTGTTGCAGAAGTTTGAAGTCTCAAAACTTGTCTGGAACTCTCCCACCGGAATTCTCAAGGCTTCGCTACCTTAAATCACTGTGAGCTTAAATTTGTTAGGGAGATCTTTGCTGTTTGGTTTTAGTTTGAAACTCAAGTTCTATTTTGGTTCGTCGTTTCTTCTACTAATGAATTTGTGCTGGGTTAATCAGGGAGCTCAGTAAAAATATACTGTCTGGTACCGTACCTCCCCAATGGGCTACCTTGCCTTTGGTAGAGCTGTAAGGCTATTACACATATCAACCTGACTTCCACATCTTTTTTCAGCATTGATGTTTTAATAATGAAAGACTAGCTAATTTATTGGCTTTCATTTCTGGCATTTGATCCATCTTGTGCAGCTATGTTATGGGCAACCGGCTATCCGGTCCATTTCCAAAAGTTCTTGCCAACATTACCACTCTCAGAAACCTGTATGTAACTGGATTCGAAATTTTCTTTTATATTTACTGTTGTCCTGATTGTATCTTGGATTTTAGAGGCGTGGTTGGATTCTATTCTGTACCTGTTCTCTTCCCAGTTTGGCCACAACAAATTTCAGAACACTGATTTTAGGTATCTATGTCAACTAGATTTTCATCCTTAATGTCCTGGTTTCCAATCTTCTTAAGGCAACTGAGAACTGAAAGCAATTATATAGTAGGTGAATTGCCGGTACTGTGTAGTGGAGCAGACGCAAGTCTAGCAAAATCCTTCCGCACTTCACCCGTGACTGGAAGTTGATTAGCTGTTAGTTACTTAACGATTAACAGAAGCTTGGCAGTGTTGGCAACACTTTGCCTTTCTCTTCATAGCTCATTCTTCAGATTGTATTTGTCTGGGAGTTGACTGACAATGGTATGTGTTTACTTTGGTTGCAGGAGCATTGAAGCTAACCAATTTTCAGGACCAATTCCCCCAGAAATTGGGAAAATGATAAACATGGAGAGACTGTAATTTCCATGCTTCTATCTCATGAGTTATTATGAACTCTTGATCATGTGGCATGAACAAATAACTGGCCTGTTGTTTTTGTATGTCTACAGTCATATAAATTCAAATGCATTCACTGGAAAGTTACCTGTTCAACTTACCAAGTTGGTTAACTTGACTGATCTGTAAGTACAACATATTGGACGCTTCTCAAATATTGTGCATTTGATTATCTACCCCTTTTGAGTTGACATATGTTTTCCCCGTTCCTTTCACTGTTTACAGGAGGATAAGTGATAATAACTTCTCCGGTAGGATTCCGAACTTCATCAACAAATTGATAAAGCTTGAAAAATTGTGAGTTCGATATGTAACTCCTTTCTCTACTGGTTGTCCATTTGTGTCTTGTGGTCATGACTCTTTTTTTTTTGTCTTCAGACAAATACAAGGTTGCTCTCTGGAGGGCCCTATACCTTCTACCATTTCATCATTGACAAGCTTAACTGATCTGTATGAATTCTCTTAGTTGATTCTGTCTTAACTGTATGCAATGAAACAATACTGAACAAGTATCTACATTCCACATGATTTTCAGGCGGATCACAGACTTAAAAGGTAGGGATTCAACCTTCCCGCCACTCCAGGATATGGAAGCTCTGAAGACGCTGTAAGTCAGGCTCTTCCTATGTATTTATCTTAATGTTTTTATGAATGTTCTTTTAGTGTACTTTAAATGTTCATGGCAGCGTTTTTCACGTGCAGGGTACTACGGAGCTGTTTACTGTCAGGAGACATCCCTGAGTACCTGAGCTACATGAAAAAACTGAAAACTCTGTAAGAAATTTCACTGAAAATGCTCTTATGAAGTGCTTAAGCTCATATATGTTTTCTTGCTTTGGTATAAATTTGGTCATCTTAGACAGGATGGTTCCTTCTTTACTGTGTTCCTATGTAACTCTGCTAGCTATATGTGGGGTTTTCAAATTTTTTTAGTGATCTCAGCTTCAACAATCTGACTGGAGAACTTCCAGAATCTTTTGGTCGGCTTGCCAAAGCAGATATCATGTAAGTTAATGTTGGTTTTCGATATCATTGTATCTAGACAAATCCAACAGTTTGGGACAGTTAGCCTCATAACATTAATGTTTTTTTTCCTGCAGCTACTTGACCAGAAACAAACTCAGAGGATCTATACCACAATGGATCTTGGAGAGAAATAAGATTGTGTATGTTTCTTTGCTTAGGATTTAAGCTTTCTAATGGAAATTCCTGTTAGCCTCATAAAAGCTGCAATCCTACACCAACTTATGGGGGGTCACATTTTCACCTGTAGAGATATTTCGTACAATAATTTCACCTGGGGAAGCTCAAGTCCAACGGAATGTCCTAGAGGAAGCGTGTGGGTTACATACTCGCTTCATTGTTAGTTGTTACATTCTTGCTTTGTGGCAGAAAAATTGATTCCATTACACTTATCTTTGCAGAAATTTAGTGGAGAGTTATTCCTCCTCAACAACTAAACTGTAAGTTGTTCGTCTCCTCCTCAAACCTCTTACACCTTTTCTACTAAAGTACGAATGTCAACATAATTTTGCCTGTCCAACTGAGGATATTTTCATTTCCCTATGTTGCAGGAGCAGAATTCATCCTTGCTTGAGACAGAAGTTTCCATGTTGTATGTCCAAAAAACAATGTGAGTACTTATTTTGGCCATCATTAATGTTTAAGGTAACAAGTCAACCCCAAAAAAACCTACCAGTTCCTAGCTCCTTGCTTTCCAGAAGCAAATGCAAACAAGACCGTCAAATGCATAGTTCTGTTAACTGGGATCTTTCTTGTTTCTGTGACAGACCGTTACTCGCTACATATTAACTGCGGTGGTAAGGAAACGAGCCTGAATAACACCTTCTATGAAGCTGATAGAGAACCTAGAGGTGCTTCCATGTACTACTCCAGTCAGAACTGGGCAATGAGCAGCACTGGGCACTTTGTGGACAATGATGTCGATGCAGACACCTATATTCAATACAACAACTCAGCTATTATATCCACAGAATCTGCTCCCAACTCCCAACTCTACACAACAGCACGCGGCTCTCCTATCGCTCTCACTTACTATGGACTTTGCCTTGGAAATGGGAACTACACTGTGAAACTTCACTTTGCAGAGATTGTTTTCACAAACGATAGTTCATTCTTTAGTGTCGGAAAGCGAATGTTTGATGTGTATGTACAGGTGAGTCCCTTGAAAGTTAGCTTTCGTTAACTGGGACTTAAAGTGAAGTAGCACTTGCTATGTCACTCTTCTGATTATCTTCTGGACTATTCAGGACAAGTTGGTGCTGAAGGATTTCAACATTGAAGCTGAAGCTGGTGGCCCTGCTAGGCCAATAATAAAGACATTCACAGTTTCTGTAACAAGCAATACACTAAAGGTCCACTTTTATTGGGCTGGAAGAGGGACAACAGGGATACCCTTAAGAGGAATTTACGGTCCTCTCATATCTGCTATATCAGTCGATCCAAGTTAGTACTCCTGCACAACATTTTGGTTCTATGAAAGCCTGTGGTTTGGATACTGGTGGCTACTTAGGATTTTTGATAATGCATAGTATGTGATGTTGAATGAGTGATTGAAGAATGCCAATGATTAGGTTTCAACTTCTGCTTCTCTCTACAATTTTTTTCATTTGAATGATTTCTATGTCTCTTTCTGTAGACTTCGTCCCACCTTCTCCTGAAAGCAGCAGAAGGCAGCATGTCATCATCATTGCTGGAGCTGCTGCCGGAGCATTTTTAATAGTGCTTCTTCTCCTGGGTATACTCAGGAGAAATGGATTGTTGGGAGGCCAACCAGCTGAAGACAAAGGTAAGGGAACAGAACTGTATCTATCTTATTTTATAAGCGGCAAAGAAACCAATAATTGGAAGATTGGTTATATTCTCACTTCTTTTGTGCTTCCGCAGAGCTACGAGGACTGCTAGACCTGCAAACAGGGCTATTCACACTAAGGCAGATAAAAACAGCTACCAATAATTTTGATGCTGTAAATAAACTTGGGGAAGGTGGTTTTGGTTGTGTTTATAAGGTGGATGCTGCATTTCGTCTCTTCATTTAACTCCATATATAACCTCCAGCAACCAAGTTTAGTTCTTCACGTGAGTGAGCTGAAATCACTGTTTGTGCGTAGGGAGAGTTAGCAGATGGAACAATTATTGCAGTGAAGCAGCTGTCCTCGAAATCGAAGCAAGGAAACCGTGAATTCGTAACCGAGGTAGGCATGATATCTGCACTGCAACATCCCAATCTAGTAAAGCTGTATGGATGCTGTGTAGAGGGAAACCAATTGATTCTCATATACGAGTACATGGAGAACAACTGTCTATCCCGCGCACTTTTTGGTACGTTCCCCTACTTCTCCATCCCCCATTTATGGCTCTCCCGCTCTACTAATCGGAATTCAAACTCACCAACTATATATATACATTGATTTCTCGTCGACAGGAAAGGATCCAGCGTGCAGGTTGAAGTTAGACTGGCCTACGAGGCAGAAAGTTTGCTTGGGGGTGGCCAGAGGTCTGGCCTACCTTCACGGGGAATCAAGAATCAGAATTGTGCATAGGGACATCAAGACGAGCAATGTGTTGCTTGATAAGGATATGAGTGCCAAAATCTCCGATTTCGGATTGGCAAAGCTGCATGAAGATGAGGATACCCACATTAGCACTAGAGTTGCTGGAACCATGTGAGTGAGGAGTCTTCTCTGTTTCTAGAGCCTCTTCACATGATGCTAGTCTGGAGTAATTCATTCAACTAAGTTAATTCTTTAACCAAACCGTCTTTTTGGATTTTTTTTTTTTTGATTTTGTGTAGAGGCTATATGGCTCCTGAATATGCTATGCGTGGGTGCTTGACCAGCAAGGCAGACGTGTATAGCTTTGGAGTAGTTGCATTGGAAATCGTCAGTGGAAAGAGCAACACAAATTACAGACCTAAAGAAGAATATGTTTACCTTCTTGACTGGGTAATGTGTTTCCCCCCTCCATTCTCCATCACCTTAATGTATGCAGTTTGTCTCTGAGGGGTTGTTTTGAAACTTGAAATCACGTTGTGCTATATTCTGAAATTGCATGCATTACAAACAAGATGGTGTATTTCAATCAAATGATGTAGATTTCAAAACACAAGTAATGGAGAACACACAAGCTTTGGATTTTGATTTTGTAAATTGTCTTTATCATTATCATTATTTCGATTTTACTGGAAAAACTGATCTCTGAAATTGATATCTATGACTCACTACCTCATCTTTCTTATCTGTGAATTCTCTTACAATCCAGTTATTTCAAATGCCTGCATCATCAAAATACACATTCTAAATCGCAGATTTCAAACGAGCCTCTTGTTAATTTGCAAAGTCATCACGAAATATCTGTGTGTGTGCAACTTACTTGCAGGCCTATGTATTACAAGAGAGGGGAAGCCTGTTGGAACTGGTCGATCCCTTGTTGGGTTTAGATTACTCGTCAGAGGAGGCAATGCTGATGTTGAATGTGGCTCTCTTATGCACCAACGCCTCCCCAACTCTCAGGCCAACGATGTCTCAAGTGGTGAGCATGCTGGAAGGCAGAACAGCAATCCAAGACCTGCTCTCGGACCCTGGTTATTCCGCCAACAGATCGAAGTACAAGGCCATAAGGAATCACTTCTGGCAGAATCCAAGTATGACTCATACCATGTCAGCGGACGAGGATGGATATACCAATTACTCGAGTACGCGGATAGAAGTAGAAGAAGCTGGCAGTTTGTTAAGAGGAGGCTCCCTGACCATTAAAGACTAGCTGGTAATAACTTTGTGTAGTGTCATTTTGTCTGGCATTTTAGTTAACGTAAATGTCCCTTTGTACATGGCTACATGCTTAGTTTTTAGATCCTTCCTCTTGGCCGTAAGGCATTTTGGTGACCTAAGATAGAACTCCTTAGATATGTATGCAATTTGAAACCATAAGATTCAAGGTGTGGGCAGCAATAAGAGATTGCGACGGGGCTCGTGCACCGGGCACTGACGGTTTTACGTTGGCATTCTATAAGAAATATTGGCATGTAATAAAAAGAGGTCCTCCTCAAAGTAGTGGATGATTTTTAATTCTCTTACTCAATGTCGGATAGCACCAGCCATTCCTTCATCTGTCTAAACCCTAAGACTTCAGTGGAAGATCAGGGGAAAGTTTATCCGCTAATTTGAAGATTCGTTAGTAGATACTAACTGATATCCAAAATACATGAATTAGTATCCAATACTAAAGTATCTAGAGAGCACATACTAGTATTCAAGGTTTGCTAACTGATATCCACCATGAATCAACTATTATCCCAAATTCACAAACTAATATCTAGACAACACAGAATAGTATCCATATAACACATAAGAGTATCCAGATAACACATAAGAGTATCCAGATAACACATAAGAGTATCCATATTGAATACTAGTTGGTTGATTGTGGATATTAGTTGGTATCTGCTATTTGGATACTAGTTTGTGATGTTTTGAATACTAGTTTGTGCTAGGGGTGGTAAACAGTAATCCGGTAAACGGTTTACCGTTTTACCGAACCGGTAACCAGCGGTAAACGGTAAACCGTTTACCGGCGGTATCGGCAGCCGAGCGGGAAGTTAGGGGAGTCGGTTTACCGGACACGGTATCGGTAAATACCGACGGTAAATCGGTAATATCGATACCGAAATCCCCCCTCCCTACTCCACTAACATATAACATATACATCATTATTCACAAATATAAAATATTACATACATGAATGTAAGTAAGTATAGGCCTCAAAAATATTGTAAATAAGAGTTAATAATAAATTATTAATTAAAAAAATGATGAAAAAAACTCAAAAAAATTAAAATATTACAACATCACCCCACTTCCAGAAATTCGATTGGGTAAATATTCGGTAAACCGACCAAAAAACCGCCCGAAATCGCTTCTCACGGTATTTCGGTAATATCGGTTTGTAACCGTTTACCGGTAATTCGGTAATCGGTAAACCGGTCACAAACCGGTATCGGTAATCGGTAACCAATTTGACCGACTTCAGTATACCGAAACCGGTAAATTCGGTAAACAATTTACCGTTTACCGACCGAATCCCACCCCTAGTTTGTGCTATCTAGATATTTTAGTAAAATCAGTTGACTTGGATACTAGTTCATACATTTTGGATATTAGTTAGTATATACTAACGAATTTTCAAGTTAGCAGAATAACTAGGCTGGGAAGATTGAAGATATCAATGATTTCGTACCTATTAACCTCATTGGTAGCTTGAATAAGGTCATTTCAAAGGCGTTGGTGGCCAGCATCATGTCGTTCATGCATTGGATAGATTTTCGAAAATAAACTACCAAACATATAGCGTATATAAAGCATATTAGAGAGGGTCATCAGAATTCACTTCCATCACACACTTTAATCAGAACATTGTACTCAATGGACTAAAATATAGGCGACCAATTAAAGGATTGGAATGGTTTACCTAATTTCAAATTGAAATATAAATCGATGGCAAAGCTAGCATTCTTATTTATTGTTTATTAAGATTCTGAATAAACAAAAGAAACAAAAGAAACATAAAAGTAGATAATGGAGAGAGCTAATGTTTCATCTCCTAAATAACATCGAAAAGAAAAATAGAACAGGAAGTGAAAGTGCTCATCAAACTTTGAACTCCTTCATTCAGATGGCCAATCAAGCTCTGATGTCCATCCATCGCCCCCATTCACTTGTATTTGTCGAAGATGGCTTTATGGGATGTTGATTCAATCCATTTTGGCGATGATAGTGATTGAACTCTTGATAGTCTTCTCACGCTTCGCACTCTAGCTCCTCGATCTTATCTAGCCACGACTTGGGCCTTGTATTGGATATTCGAAGGGTCATTTGTGCTAGGTTCAAATCTAGAGTTGGTGGAACTTCTTCCAACACATCTCCCCAGTCTAGAGCTTGATCGTAATGATGATGGATTGGTCGTAAGGAATCCTCATATAGAGAACTTGACCTTGTCTCCTACTCCTACTCCATCTCCAACTCTATCTCTTTATCATTCTCCTTAAAGTTATCATCACTGACCCTTGATTATTATGAGGATAGTGAGTGGCTTCTTCAAAGATGGCCGTCTTCTCTGCCAATGATATGTCATCGTCTTTGTCATTCTTCATGGCAAGAGATGTTGCCATGACTTGAGCTTGAGTAGACATCGATACTTTTTTGAGAGTCATCCTTCTAGGGTGATGGATGTCCTCTCCCTTTATTGATTGGATGCTTCGTCTTTGTCCTCCACCATCTCACAAGGATGAGTCTTCACACTCCTTGCACTCATCCTTTGTCCTTCACCATCTCTCAAGGATGGCTCTTCACAAAATCTTCCCGGGAAAGAAATCCAACGATTTGTATCACCGAGTTTTGCTCTAAATCACGTGAGTAGGTGTGAGGGAAAAGATGAGGGGGTTGCCTCCATTTTATAGATGAGCGGTGCCCTAGTGATAGTGTCGACTACTGCCTTTTTTTCTTCTTGCGGGAAACAGATTCTTTGGAGTCTTTTTTCGAGTAGGAAAAGAGAATAAGTTGCGGTAGGGTTTCTTCTAATGATGGTGGCATGGTGGGTCTGAGCGCCGCTCCCTCTTTCCCCCTGTGTTGTGGAATTCTTTTCTTTTTCTTGCAAGAAAAGCCAAATTGAAGAACTTAGGGCAAGAATAAGTGGGGCGGTGCCAGTCATCGTGGCTTCTTCTTATTATTTTCGATTTTGCTTTATTTTTTCCTTGTAAGATGCGTCAAATAGGGGAGCTTTGGACATCATTGGATCGCCTTGCTCCTTTCTTCATCTTTCATTTTATTTTTCCATGGATTTTAAAATAAAACAAAAACGGTGAAAGCAACAAAATGGAGAGAGATCAAGTGCTTCTTCCTCAACAATAATACAAAAATAATAAATCAATCATCAATGCATCTCACAACTATCCCTATGAAGGCATCTCTCAACAATTAATTCACATTTTCGATCAACCCCACACATTATTTAAGCGTAAAGAGTACTTACCCTGTAATTTGTCGATGCCAAGAGGATGTGTTGTGAGAGAAGAGTGTGATACAGATGATGTTGGTCCAGAAATTCGGGTTCTCTCCTTGGTAGCTCTTTACTCTTACGTCCTTAAGTTGGATGACATACATTGCATTGGCTCTCATGAAGCTCTCCTTATTTTGCGCCTTTGAGCTAGCCATAACTATATGCTCATCAAACACCCCAACTAATGGATTCTTTGAAGTCCATTGTCATAGGTGCAAACTCTAGCTGCATTACATACTCCTTCTTTATTCGGATCTATGGTGGACCATGGGGAAGTTACCACCTTATTCTCCACCTTTCACCCAACACTTTGATGATGCATCTACTATCATTGAGATGATGTAGAATCAGAAAATTAATCGATTGTAGAGGTTCAAGAAGGAACTCGCATAACCCCTTGCTTGGATAGGTAAGATGCTACGGTCTCATTGTTCTCCAAAAATTGAAGCCAAGGGATCTAATCCGAGGAGTCGAGCAAAATCTCACTGGACTCCATTTTTATCTCCATCAGCACCGCAGCTTCTCACCATCCTCGATCTTCCATCACTAACCACCGGGGAATTCGGCACAGCTTCCCATTCTGCAACCTGCAAACGATATTAAACAAGAAGAACATGAACAGTGAATTGAGTAAACTCAAATACTACCCAATTACGCGCCCGTCATATACTCCAAAACACCGCCACAGCCTACATCAAACAGTCACCCCCCATGGGACCAGGAGTAGCTTTCAATATCGAAGATTTGGAAAAATACTTCCCCTTTTATCAGATGATCCAGTAAGGAGTCAGGTTCTTTCCAGATTTGCCAAGCTACTTTCGCAAGGAGGGCCTGATTAACCTCTACAAATCTACGAAAACTCATGCCTCCCTCATGTTTACTCATAGACAAACCCTTCCATGCCACCCAGTGTATACATATTTCCCCATACTGCACACCGCACCAAAGTCGCACTAAGTGCCTATCAAGAAATCTACACAAATTTAGCGGAAGGAGGAAACAAGACATGACATAAACCAGCAAGCATTTGCTACTGCCTGGTTGAGTACTTCTTTGGCCGTCCAGGAAAGACACTATTGTTTCCATCCTTGCAGTTTAGTCAGAACTCTTTCCTCCACAAAGTGGAAAGTATCCAGCTTCGATTGCCCCACTACCGAAGGAAGACCCAAATACTGATCAGTCACACCAACAACCCCACCCCCATAATCTATCCCATATGTGCTCTTTCCGATCCGTTACATTCATGCTAAAGCAAACTGTTGACTTATCCATATTTACATTTTGACCACTCAGCTTCTCATAATGCCCGAAGAGGTCCACAAGAATCTCACATTCCCGGGGTGAAGCTCTAAGAAACAGGTAGGAATCATTGGCAAAGAAAAGACGAGAAATCACCATACAACGGGGACTAACACAGATCCCAGTTAACATCCTCCTTCCTAAAGCCTGAAAAAGTAAAGCCGATAAACCTTCCATACATAAGGCAAACAGTAAATGTGACAGAGGATCACCTTGTCGAATTCCACAAAAAAATAAATTTTTTTTCACTTTAATATCATACAAATTACGCATTTCAAATAATTTAAAAAACTGGGATACACAATGCAAATACGGGAGAAGCTACCATGCTACCATTTTTTTGTTAGCATAGTGCTAACACCTAGACAACCAATAGAAATCTCTCATTACGTGGACCTTTTAGCGAGATTTGTTGACCTAGTTCTCAGGTGAAAATTTCAAGAAAGGGCAGTTTAGTCATTAGAAAATAACCCTAATTTCTCCCTTCTCCAACTCGTGTGTCCTGCAACAAAGAGGAAATCACAGCAAGCTGGAAAGGGATACAAGACCAATGGCGGCGGTTGAGATCGTTGGTGGTGAAAATTGCAAGGGTGATAACACCTAAATTGGTGTTATTTTCCTGTCATATTGGGGTTTGTTTCGTGCCAATTCATGTTCATAATTGTTTGAACAACGTCTATTGCATCCCTATTTCGTTCCTATTTGATTTCGATGTGATTTTAG